AGTTACCTTTTTAATGTTGTATCTTACTTTACAGTGACTTCCTTCAGCAAAAGAACTGTTACCTGTTAAAACCTTTCCTTAAAGTTTTAAAATCTTTCCACTCACAAATCATATCCATTGGTTGAGAGGAAAAGAATTTGCAGATCAGTCTTGTTCCTTATATAGCTTAATGCAAATACATTTGAAAAAATTTTTCCTCCATATATGCTTTTCCATGGTTTGGTTTTGCCTGAAGCATTTTAAAATAAAAATACCTACTACACATACAAGTAATTCCATTTCTCCTCAAAGATTTTTTTTGTTCAAATGAAGGTTTGAACAAGGTCTAATTATGTATTACTATTGTATCTTAAAGATAATCGGTTTTCATATGTCTTTTGATTTGCTGATAAAGGCAGTTCAGCTGTCATGTAGGAATCTTAGTTTCTGAATTAGTAAATAGAAATGTCTGTGAACTTCCCTATTTACTATCTTAAGTTACCACCCATGCCCGTACTTCCTAATAACTGGAATTGCATTTGAAGTTCTGGCAATGTATAGATTAAACATTTGTGGTAAGGGTATTCATAGGTGATGCTATGTGCTCTGTGTTGTCTTGCTCTGGGGGCACATGCTGTCTATGTGCTCCACTATTCATGATGCCAAGACTCCACTGTTCATGGAGGCTACCTGAATCAATGGGGATGACTTGTGTTTTTTGGTTTTTGGAGTTTTTTGTTTGTTTTAGATAGGAGAATAATACTGTGTTTATCTGAAGATGGGGGTCACCTTTGAGAAAGAGACACTTGTTAGTGTGGAAAAAATGGGAGGACTTCATGAAACCATTTCCTTAAGTAGGCAGGAGTATATAGTCTAAACATTACAGCTCAGATGGAAAGGTATCCTGGTAGCTGGGAGCCAAGGAATACCACAAAGTCACACCTCACAACAAACCTCACACAAAGAGAGTTACTGGAAGGAGAAAAAACCAGGAGGGTGGCTGCCTCTGCTTGGGCCAAAAACAACAGCAAACTGAACAGGATACAGGACTTACGTAGAGTTTCTTGGGAAGGGGGTGGAACTTTTCTCTTTGGAGCTTTCCAGGGTGGAGATTGGTGGGATTTCATGTCCAGAGATTGGACTTTTTACTCTGTGGGGCAGGTCCAGCAGTTAGGGTAGGTAGCATGTTTTGTGGGTGGTATAGGGTAAAAGGGTCAGCCAAAGAAATATGTCCTCACCCTGAGACCAGAGCCAATTCACTGGCCTTGAAACCAGAGCCAAAGAAACACATTCTGCTCCTGATCAACTCAGCACAAAAAACAGCCAATCCCTAAGCAAGAAAACCAACCAATCACTAAGCACAAAACCAACCAATCCCTGAGCTTGAAATCCAACCAATTCCTACCCTGGAACTCTTCACCCTGGAAAAACTCTGCCCCTAAGAAACCCTATATAAGCCTGTGCCTATTCAGTTGGGAGTTGCCTTTTTCCTCCCTGTCAGAGGCTGCTACCCTCCTGGATTCCTCCCTCTCAATAAATCTCTTGAATGAGGTTTGGGTGACGACCTTGGCCAGAGTGGAGCAGGGCAGAGAAGTAACAACTTTCTCAGAAGCTGGAACAGAGCAGATACATATGTAACACTTTTGCCCGGGGACACCTTCCCCTAGCAGAGTGGAGTTGTTACATTCCAGGGGGACCTGAGCAGTGTTGTTTCGCTGGAGCAAGCTTAAGCTGCTATGCTTAAAGTGACTTTGTGATATCCCTTGGTTCCTGACTGCCAGGGTACGTTTGCATCTGAGGTTCAGTGCTTACAGGTGGAACCATCCTTCGGGGAGGGATCTGGACACTCATGTGGCTTGAGGGGCTTGCAAATGGAATCTAGTGGATAAGTAATAGTCACTAGTTGTTGGACATGGCCAGTTCATTTGAAATAACAAGAGCAATATGGGTGAACTCAGGTAGCGTGGGCTATGACTCAGCAGTGAAAGGTCTGTACTGGGACACCCTGCTTTTCTAGCGAACAAGGAGCAAGTTTATCAGAGTGGAGAGAGACCAGGAGGGGAGATCAAGCAGAAGTCTAGAAGAGTGGCAGTGTGTACGTTTGGAAAGTACTGTCATTGCGGGACAGCATTATGCATAGACTGGCCATCAGGGATCAAAAATGGGAAATGAAATCAACCACGATCATGTGACTGGTGAGAGACAGAGCATGGCCCCTTTCCCCAGATCATACTGATAACAAATCAGATGTGCTTTGAATTATAAACTCAGGTCAGTGCTTAGCATGTATCCAGTGCTAAATGAATCGTGGCTGTCTCTATCATAGTTGTTTGTTTGTCATCCAGAGCCAAGGGTCCTGCTCTCACTTTTGTAGCTGGTTGAAGATCATCAGATGACTAGCTGTCTTCTGACCCATGGTAGATCTACATAGACAGTCTCAACTGGTTTACTTTGGGGATCAAGTTAGGTGTGGCTTTTAATCCTCTTAGGAGGCAAGACTTTCTTAGGAAATGCAGTTGACATGACGAAGGAAAAGCTGGGGTAGGAGGCTTCTGATGTCTGAGGGTGTTACCATTAAAAAAAAATCGCATGTCCCAACAGCTTGTGTGTTAAGAGTGGCAGGGAACTTTCATCTGCAGATCCGAGGTTCATCCAAGGTTCAGGGCTCTCTGAGGGGGTTATGAAAGAGCCTCTTCCGTCAACAATGCCTGAAATAAACAAAAGTGTTTAAAGAGCTGCCTCATCCAGCCTACTATGTGCTCAACACTCATTAAGTGTCTGGGGTTACTCCTTGACAATAGCACTGGAGGAGACTGACGGGGTCTCTTCTGTCTCTTCTATCTGTAGTGAAAAGAGGCAGCAATCAGTAGGAACGTACATACAGTGGTAAATACTGACACTAAAGGAAACTTATGAATAGAGGGAGAGCCATCAGAGACATTTTCTCCTTCTCTCTGGAGACTGCCACAAACCCAGTTATTCTCTGAATTGGTAAAGAAAGCCCTGAACTCTTTTTTCCTCCCTTGAGGACTGAACCCAGGAAGGGCCTTGGACTTACTAAGCAAGCACTCTACCCCTGAGTTAAATCCCCAACCCCAGCCCTGCACTCTTTGATAAAGGATGAAGTGACATCTGCATGTGCTTCTGTCATGTCTGGAGCCTGCCTTATGTCTTGCTCCTACTCATGACATCATCATCATCTTTCAGGCAAAGCCTGTGGTCTTCAATGAAGTGTCTTCTGCAGTTTGCTGGCAAAGCTGGTTGTCAGGGTACCAAGGTAAACCCCTTGGGTGTGGTTAGTCCTCTGAAATAGGATGGCTTCCAGTTTCCATTTTACAGGAAAACTAGCTGTCTTAGGAGACTCTAGTCCAAGGCTATGCTCGCATGCTTTCTGGTTTACAATGCTAGATCCCCTGAAATAGGCTTCAAGGCCAGCTCAATATTATGCAGGCAGTTGAAGCACAGGATGAAGTGTATTTTCACTATTGTCCCCAACAGAATAAGAAAGAATCCGAGCTCCTCACCAGCTTTCCAGGCCTGACTCTTGAGCATGCTTGACTTGTGACTGCACTCGTGGTACAGACAACATGCTCTGTCTCCATTAAAATATTCTAGGTGTTTTCTTCTCTGCAGCTACCGAAGTTCACATGTATTTATATTCATTCATGTGGATGTAACTTTAAGGGGTGTTTAGAAGTTAAGTCAATAGATTTTCACCATTATTTATAGGTTTGAGGTTAAAACCCTTTTCTTTTTATACGTATTTTGCTTTGTAGAGTTCCCATTCTTTCCTCATTAATCCTCTTTTAATCGCCACAACTGTAGGAGGTAGGAACTCATTTCACACTTGAGGAGACTGAAATGTATATTTGCTTCTTTTTGTTTATCCAGCCCTAGATTTATGGCAGTTTGATCAATAGTCAGAAGACCTTAGTGCTTGAGTACTTTCTAGAAGGGTTAAGCTATGTACTTCTTCAGTGATCTGACAACTTTATTGTGATCTGCCCAGCAACGCATACAGCTGTTTTCAAGACTGCCAAGTGCTGTCAAGTCTCTAAACCATTATTTTAATGTGCCTCCCTTAAGATCATAGTGTCTCAACTATTGTTTTTAATTTATGATTTATCTGTTCAAGGTGCTTGCCTCTTTTTTGGGGGAGGCTTTTTGCCATATTAGTCCTTTAGTCTTAGTTTTACATTTTCTTGCAATTAAAATAATTTAGCTTTCCAATTGCTATTTTTTAAAAATATAGTATCAAAACTGGAAAGAATAAACACAGAGTGAGTTCTGCTTTTAGCTTTAAAAACATTTATATATGTTATGCTAAACATAAAGCTTGGCTTTTTTTTTAATACACTGGGGATCAAACCCAGGGCCATATGTTTACCATACAGATACTCTACCACTGAGCTATATTCCCTTTTCCCCCTTGAGCTATATTCCTTATTTTTAAATTATAAAGAGTAATTCATGTCTATTTTAGATATTGTTGAATGGGCATAAAACTTCAAAGATGGAAATGTCCCTTGTTCCACAGTCCTAGGTACCATATTTTCCTAGTGCTTTATTTTCTTTTTAAAGTATTATTTCTGAATCTGAATAGTATTTACAGTTCAGTAACCCATGTTCAAAATACATGAACTTCTCCATATCATTAAATATTCTGCTACAAATAAATAATGTTTAAAAATCATTCTGGAGTGTTCTTGGAGGGGTGAACCTTTTTGCTATTTATTCTTAAGGGGAGAGTAATTGCATGCTTCTTCCCAGATGGTTTTGTAGTGCCCACTTTGTCTTTCTAAGGCATCCCCATCTGGCATGGTTCTTTTTCTAGGCTCTCTACAAGGTCCACATATCTTGAAAGTTGCATCCGTAATTCATCTTTACTCTTTCCAGCATGCTCAGTGCTTCCTGGGATATGCCATGGCCCACAGCTACAAAAGTGCCTGTCCATCCTGTTAATATTTAACATCACTCTGCTAGAAAAATCACTCTAACCTCCCCTTTTTATTCTATTTCAGATGGTTTTTGATCATCCTGAGAAAAATGAGCCTTGGCCTCCAGACCTAATCAAGTAAACCTCTTTCTCATGGAGAATAGTGCCGGGGGTTCCTGATGACCTGGAGGGCCTGCAGCCCCAGAGGGATTAGTCAGAAGCAGGTAAGAAGCTCCTAGAAGTCTGAGAAAGCGGAGGGTGATGTTCCTGAGTAAAACAGTGTGAGCCCGACTGTGCTGGCAGGTGGCTAGGGTCTTCCTCGTCTCACTACAACTTCACCACTTTGCCTCTGTTTCTTCCCTTCCTAGTCATCTACGAACTTAGTCAGTGAGGGCCGAGGAGGTGGGGATAGTAGATTTGTCCAGCTCTAAGCTGCAGATAGAAGGACTGAATCTTCTATAACTGAGAGCCTTTTATGAGAGCGTTTATGAGCCAAACATTGCATTTGACAATAAACAGGCTTCCAGGAGTAGATAGAGCAGAGCTCTTTATTTACAGAAATTCTTTATTGTTTATATAGCATTGGCTTGGTTTCTGTGGGTGGTAAGGGGCATGGCTGCAGTATTCTTTTTCTAGAAGTTTCTTCCTGGTATAAGGATTCATTGGACTCAGTTTTGCCAGCTCACCAATCCCTTACTTAGCATGACTCTGCTCCAGGTTTGGTTCTGGGGCCAATTATTCGGACATGATACCAGGAAGCATTCTCCTCTGAATAAGGGCTTAGGCTCAAAACCCAAGCTTTGTAAACATGGCTTGTTAACAAAGCAGGGGTGTGGTGAAAGCCAAGGGCAGTGAATTCATCAGCTGCAAACCCTGGAAGCTTACAGAGTAAGTCTGGTGATAGAAAAAAATCAAAGCATATACTGCTTTCCAAAAGCTTGTGGAGAAAAAGTCAGTCACCTCTCTTTCCCCTGAGGTCGGTATTAGGTGAAGCCTTCCCCCGTGTCTGTCTTGCTCAAAGAGCTGGCAAGTGAGAACGGCCCCTCAGCTCTGAGTGGCCATGACTAGAAACCCCAGCTGGCCTCAGGTGAAGATAATATGGAGGGACCACACGAGCACTGATGGACGGTTCCTGACGCGTGTGCTCAGGCCATGAAGGTCCAGGCCTGTCAAAGGCCGTGAGAAATACAGCAGGATAACTAATGTTCAACAGGCTGACCTACCACATGAGTGATAGGGAGCTCCACCTGGCAAGGCCGTGGAGTCACTGGCTGCGGAAATTGGTTGCTCCTGTCTGTAATTTCCCTTATGAGTTGCTTTATCTCTTCCCTAAGAATAGCTTAGGTGTTTCCCTGCTTGTTTGTGTTTATCTCATGAAAATATTCCATCTACTGGGCACATATGTCTGTCAGGAGAATGACTTTTCATGGGGCTCTATTATCTTGATAGAATATATAGTGAGTACCTTGTATTCTCGAATAGGCCCCTGAGAAAGGAATTTCTTCTCACTCAGGCGTCAGCGGTAAGAGTGCCCCACTGCTTACCTTGAGGCTGGAAACAGCAGCCTCCTGATCTCACACTACATACCTTAGCTTTTCCCTTTGATAGCTAGAACACCGAGAAGTCCCCTTTAATCAGCTAACATTTGTGGAAAATGCTAATGTAGATCAAATGCTTCCATTTTTCCTTCCACAGCTTATGCAAGTTGCCATGGCTATTGTGACACTGTGTTCCTAACTGCCTCGAAATCAAAAACCAGCGTGTAGAAAGTGCAGAGCTATAGTGTCTCTACCTTCCCCTTATTTTACATTTATCAATTACAAACTTCTAGCTTAACTAACCACACAAATTAGTTTTATGTACTAACTCCCCTTCTCCCATCTTAGAAATCTTAGCCCCTTACTCCAGTAACCCTCGATGCCTCTTAAGCTATGCCCAGATGTTTTACAAGTCATGTCTCCTCTGCTTTGTCAGGTCTTATCTGCCTTCCTGGCCCTGAGGTATGCATGCCTGGTATACTTGCTACTTCCAGAGAACTGCTAATTGTGTCTGTGTGGAAACCTAGGAGAACTTTTAGAGAAAATTTTTGGAGAGAACTTTTGGAGAGAGCTTTAGGGGAACAGCTTTTTTTTTTTTTTTTAAAGAACAAAGAGTCATGACAAAACTCAGATCCTTTCAGGCAGTCCTACCTCCCTGTTGTGCACCTCTGGCCTGAACCCTGAGAGAACACTGATACAGGCCAGTTGAGGGTTCTGAGACTGCCTTTGGGGTCATCTGTGAAAATTCCTTTTCCCTAAGAATCCCGGGGAAGGCAATGGCAACCTCCCCTGAACCTCCAGTCTCATAACAGTGAAGTGGGACCCTCGCTGCCATCGCTATTTCCATGTCACTCAGATGAGTTCAGAATTGCTTGAATTTCTCAAAACTACACACTGAGCTCATGGGAGCACCATACTCGACATTATAGCATGCATAAATAGAGCGCAGCAGTGATGCCTGGTGGAGGACACTTTGCTCTGGCTGAGAGTTTCATCTCTGGGCACTCTGGTTTCTGAGTTCTGAGGGTCAGCGCTTACTGTTCACTGACCCTGATGAAAGCTCAGTCCTTCAGTGCAAAGAACTTTCTAGTGCTTCTCAACCTTCCTTATGCACATCTTTAATACACATCTTCATGTTGTGCTGACCCACAACCATACAATTGTGTTGTTGCTACTTCATAACTGTAAATGTGCCATTATTATGAATAATAATGTAAATATCTGATACTCAGGATAGCTGATATGTAATTCCCAAAGGGGTTTTGACCCACAAGTTGAGAACCACTTTAATTAACATTAGATACAAACTTACACTGAATTGGAATCTTGGTTCAAGCAGTTTGGTGAGCTGGTGATATTGGAGTAGACTGCTCATGCCTTAGTGTCTTCATTATAACACAGAGTTGTAAAAATTTACTTTGTAGTGTTGGTGTGGTGAGACATTGAAGGTACAGTACCTAAGTAGTAGGGTTTCTTTTTCTTTTGGATTTTTCAAGACAGGGTTTTCCTTGTGTAGTCCTGTCTATCCTGGAACTCTGTAGACCAGGCTGACCTTGAACTCACAGACCTTGAACTCACAGAGATCTGCCTGCCTCTTTCTTCTGAGTGCTGGGACTAAAGGCGTGAACCAAGCTGTAGTAGGGTTTCTTTCTTTTTTTTTTTTAAATTTATGTTCGTTGATGCTTGCCTGCATGCATGTTTGTGTGAGACTGTCAGATTCCCTGAAACTGGAGTTACAGATAGTTGTGAGCTGCCATGTGGGTGCTTGGGAATTGAACCCGGGTCCTCTGGAAGAGCAGCCCATGCTCTTAACCTCTGAACCAACTCTCTAGCCCCTGTAGTAGGGTTACTTAAATGCTATCTATCTCTCCTCTAGTTATTCTTGAGCTTTCGTATGGTCATGTGGCTAGTGCTAATGAATGAATGGGGGAATTTACTTGATTTTTTTCAATGATATGACCCTCGATCTCCCACTTGATGATGTTGCATCTGAATTTCTTATCCCTCTGAGGTCCTCCATTTTACCTTTCACTTAGCTGCAGCACCACTGCCCACATGTCCCTCGTGTGAAAGGGCTGCTCTCCTTCCTCTACTCAGTGTCATTCTCCTGCCTTTGCTCTTAGGTAGTTCCAGCTTGTTAGCACACCCTTTCATTTAATGCTTCCAACACACCACAGACACTAGGGCAGAGATGACTACCTGTATATCCTGTAGAGGCTCAGGGGCAGATATATTGGCTTGGTCAAGGTCACTGAGAAAGGAATCAAGAACCCAGGCTTCATGAATTTCCCTCTAGTAGTTTTCCTGTTTCTCTCAAACATCCTTGGGAACAAACTTGGTGGGAAAGGACGTCAGACTTCCCGTGTTAGCAACGCCCCAGGGGCAATTGCTTTCATTGCAGTGAAGTACACTCAGGAGAAGAAAGAATTAGTGTTTTCCAAAGGACACAGACCTTGTTTGAGTTCAAAGTGCTCCCATCTTCCATTTAGTTACACAGTGGGTTTTGAAAAAAAAAAAAAACAAAGTATCTCTTTACCCAGATAGGAAGTGACTCTCTTTGCTATCTTTCCAAGATTTCCTATACTCTGTCACAGAACGATCTAGCTACTTGGGTACACAGAATGTTGGACTGTGAGGCTAACTCTTGTCTAGAAGTTCCAGATCATAGGCCTTCCAGAACTGTGTCACCATGCATAGGGGATTTCTCTGGCTCTTTTAACTGATGGAGGACTTTCAAGAATCTGGGTTTTGTGTATCGACTAGTCTCTCTATTGCACGGAGAGCCTGGGCTGTAGGAGTGGGTGATGTGACAGGTTCTGCTCTAAGCTTCTTGAGTGAGCTAGAGCAGAATACCAGAGGTCAAGAGTCATGGTGCACAGACTAAGAGGGGAAAGATGCATAAATGTTCAGGGCTCAGTGACGAGTTCGGAGGAATGCTGTCTGTATTCAGAGCCCAAACTAAGACTCTTTATTCTTTCCTCCTGGCTTGCTCAAGGCTGCATCTCTGGTGGGAGGCAATTAGGACTGGACTTCAAGTGTCTTTATGCTTGGCTCACCACCCTGCTGCATGCCACTTTAGAAATCCTCTCCATCATCGTTCTCCCCTTTGTTCTGCTTTTCTTAGGCTTGGTTCCTGTGCACAACCGTGGCTCCCCTGCCCATACCTTCCATTATGATTCACACCAACTTGAAGAAAAAATTCAGCTACTTCATCCTGGCCTTTCTCCTGTTTGCAGTCATCTGTGTGTGGAAGAAAGGGAGCTATGAGGCTCTTAAATTGCAAGCCAAGGAATTTCAGGTGGCCAAGAGTCTGGAGAAGCTGGCCATGGGGTCTGGTTCCCAGTCTATGTCTGCAAGCAGCAAACAAGACCCTAAACAGGACAGTCAAGTCCTCAGTCATCTCAGGTTCGTGGCCAAGGTCAAACCACAGCCCTCCTACCAGGTGTGGGACAAGAACTCCTCATCCAAAAACCTCAACCCCAGGCTGCAAAAGATCCTGAAGAACTATCTGAACTTGAACAAGTATAAAGTGTCCTACAAGGGGCCAGGGCCAGGAGTCAAGCTCAGTGTCGAGGCCCTACGCTGCCGCCTTCGAGACCATGTGAACGTGTCCATGATAGAGGCCACAGATTTTCCCTTCAACACTACTAAATGGGAGGGTTACCTTCCTAAGGAGAACATTAGGACCAAGGCTGGGCCGTGGCACAGGTGTGCCGTCGTCTCCTCTGCAGGATCTCTGAAATCCTCTCAGCTGGGCAGAGAGATTGGTATGTGGAGTGTTCTCCAAGCAGCTGATGCTTCTGGGTCTGGTTGGGGAATTTCAAAGCCCTCGAACAAGAACCCGTGCATAGCTTAGAGGAACAGTAGAGTTGTCCCAAGGCCGTGTTTTCAGCTTCCTTGGAGTGAAAAATGCCCCCAAAGATGTCTAAAAAGACGGGGACCACACCTTAAACCTTTTTTCTTTTAATATAGTTCTAAGAATTGATCCTTTGAGAGTTTCACACATGCGTACAGAATATTTAACTATATTCAATGCGTTGCCTCCTTCTCACTCTTCCTAGATTCCCCACCACACCCCCTTCCCAGTTCCATGTTCCTGCCAGGCTTTCCTTTTAATAACCACGTAGTCAAACGAGTGCTGCCCGTATGCACATGGATGTGGTCTTCCACTGTAGCAACCTGCCAAACGGAGCCCCTCACATGGAAGCCATGAGCTCCCCCTAGGGGGTGGGATCTCAAGTGCCCCCCCCGTCCTGACTTGAGGTTATCGACAGAGTGTAGGTCTTGGGTGGGCAATTGCAGCTGCTGGTGGCACATGAGTGCAGTGACTGCCAATGTCTGGAGGTCACTGTTTTGTCCCAGACCTCCCTGGCCTCTGGCTCTTATAATCTTTCTATTCCCTCTTCCATAACGTCACTTGAAGGTCTACTGTATTTTCCCCATTAGAATATTTTTCTGTCTGTTTCGAATACTGGTGCTCTATGGAGTGTTCCATTAAAAACACAACAACAACAACAACAAAAATGTTGCGCTGCCAAAAGCAAAAACCCTATAGCTGACCTTCGAAAATATTTGAAGCATGGAACTTGACTACGTTTTCAGTATTTAAGTGTCTGTTTGTTTAAAATCGTGTGGAGAGCAGACAGCCATGTGCCACAGAGCTTCCCCTCAGGCTTTGGCCATCAGCATGTATCTTGATTCAGACAGGGTCTCTCTGTGGTTTGCCACTGCTGGGTACCTCAGGCTAGCTGGCCTCCGAGCTACTGGCGATTCTCTTGTCTCCGTGTCCGGCTTCAGGTTGGTACTTAGAGTTTGGCCTCGTGTCCACAGGCTTGCGTTTTACCCACTGAGCTGTCTTGTTAATTGTGATTCTCATATGTGGCAAATTCTTTCAAGTCTCACCTGGCTAATTTTCAGCTTTTCTCTTAAAAAGAAAGAAGAAAAGAATATATATTAACTGAGCAACAATGTGTGTGTGTAGGTGTGTAGGTGTGTAGGTGTGTAGGTGTACACGTACTGGTTATGGGTATGGAGGTCAGAAGACAATTTTGTGGAGTTAGTTCTCTCTGCCACCTTTATGTGTGTGCTGCAGATCAGACTCAGGTTACCAGACTTGGGAGTAAGCGCCTTTAGCTGATGAGCCTTTCACAGACCTTCCAGCTGGAATTTTTAAATTGGGGGCTATAGGCTAATACCAAGTGTTGTCTGAATCCTTAAAGTGGCCTGAAAAACTACCAGGGGGTGCTTGCAAGCCTGTCTGCCTTTTTCTGGTCATGGGCCTGATTCTCAGACTGCTCCGTGATTGAAAGAGACCCCAGGTCCAAAGACACTGATTTTTGCTATTCATGAAACCCCTAACAGCTAATAAAGAGCCAAAGTCTGTTCATATTGCAAACTTGCAACTGAGAACTAACTTGTGCAAAACCAATTGCTTCTGTTATTTTGAGAGAACTATGGCTTTAGAGAAAGTCTTGCTATCAGGCTGGGGTCCTGGAGAAGGTGAGTTCATGTGATCCTTTTAATTTCCTTCTGGTGACTGCCAGGGAGAACAGCCTGAAACCAGGTGTAAACTTTCAGAGAAGGAACTCAGAACCAAATGGGTTACTCTGAATCCCCAAGTCCATAGAGATTCTAACGGAGCCCCCAAATGGCCAGCCCTACCCCAACTTTAGCTTTTGCACTTTCGGTTTCTTTAGACGTATTTCTAGAAACTAAATGTGATTGAATTCTGTCCTGTGTAGTAAAATTAATTTCCTGTTTCTTCTGCCTTTGCTATAGAATAGTGGCATTTAGGATGGTTCGAATTAGACGGCCACAGTTCTTTCTATCGAGTTATTATTGTGTAGCTAAAGTTGTGTTCAGGATTAAAGCAGAAGCAAAAGTCCTTGTAAGCTGGAGCTACAGCTTCATTCACAAACTCATCAACACCACAGAATAGCAGTGGGAAATACTAAGGCTGGAGACTTACTGCAACATTGAAGCTATTGGGCGTGCTATGACTGTTGAGCCTAATGATGGCATCATTTAAGATACTTCTAACAATGGAGTCCAGGTCATTTGAGAGGCTACCACTTTTCTGCAGTGGAGAGATATCTCCAGGAAAGTCCCCTTGTCCAGGACTTTGGCACCGTGGTTCTTAACCTGTGGGTCGCGACCCCCACAGGGTTGCATATTAGATATCCTGCATATCAGTTTATAGTTCATGATAGTAGCAAAATGACAGTTATGAAGTAGCAATGAAATGGTTGGGGTCCCCACAACACGAGGAACTGTATTAAAGGGTTGCAGTGCTCGGAAGGTTGAAACACTGCTTTAGGGTTCCCTATCCGTCCATGACAAGGTTGTTCACCAGAGAGACTCCTCAAAGTCTTTTGCCTCCACTGGTCCCACAAATCAGACCATGGTGGCTCCATCATCACTTGGACCTTTTATTATTACTGACAGTGTATTTACATGTATAAGCTATGTAGAGAAGTTGAGAATTTTATTTCAAATATTAGCATATTTTTCACATACTATCACCAATAATCATGACATAATGTGTACTCACTGTGTGCTTGGCATACCTGCTTTCTTATTTTAAATTTCATTTTTGTGTATGGGTGTTTCGTCTATGAACTGTGTGCATAATTAGTGCCCATAGAGGCTAGAAGAGGGGTACCAGATCCCTGAACTCGAGTTACACACATAGTTGTGAACTGCCAGATAAGTGATGGAAATTGAACCTGGGCCCTCTGGAAGAGTATCCAGTGTTCTCAACTGTGGAGCCATCTCTCCAGCCCCTCAGTTTGAAAAACATAAATGTTTTTGTTCATTAAGAACTTCTTGCATGCACACAGTTTATTTTGATCATATTTACACATACACCCTCTCCTCTCAGATCCACCTCTGGCTCCTCCTAACTTTAGTGCTCTTTTTATTTTAGTAACTCCCTGAGTTCAGTTTGTGCTGCTCACATACTCATGGGTGTGGGACAATCCACTGCAGCTTGGTCTGTCCCCTAGGGGCTACACCCTTTAAGAAAACTATTCATTCTTCCCTAGAAATCATCATCTCTTCGTGGGTTTTCAGTTAGGGGTACCATCCCACCCTCCACCCCAGACATCCCCAGTCCCCTCAACCTCCAAGCTGGGATGTGGGGCCCAGTGTCTGGAGAAGGGTGAAGGGTTAGGCCAGAAAGATCTCCAAGAATCAGTGCGGACCTATGCGTCTCTTTTCTTCTCTCTTCATTTCCCTGTCCCAGCCCACTGGTTCTCAATCTGTAGGTCACCACTCCTTGAGGGGGGGAGTATGAATGAACCTTCCACAGGGGTCCCCTAAGATCACTGGAAAACACAGATATTTACATTACGATTCATAAGAGTAGCAAAATATCAGTTATGAAGTGGCAATGAAAACACGGTTAGGGGCCCCACAGCACGAGGAGCCATGTTAAAGGGTCACAGTGTCAGAAAGGTTGAGAACTGTCACGTCTGCTGCGCGGCCTGTGTCCGAGAACGTGCGGAGGGTGTCGGGTATTGAAAACACAGAGACTCGTTCAATGATATAAAGAGAACTTTAAACAGGCTCCAAAAAGGTTCAAGAAAAACTTCCTAAGAAAAGCTCCCACCAGAGAAACTTCTGCTCTCTCCTCTCCCCTGGCTGGTTCTCCTCTGACCCCAGAGGTGGATGTGTGTGGGTTTTTGAAGGTGCGGTTAGTCTTTGGACAAGGTCGAGGTCAGGGCGGTTTCCGTGGGAAGGCCTTTCCCAGGAACTTATTGTATCATTTTTAGTAAACATGTTTTTACTAAACATTGTCTTACAGCTGCCTACTCCCAGGCAGAAGGGGAAGTGGCCAGGAACTTATTGTATCGTTTTTAGTAAACATGTTTTTACTAAACATTGTCTTACAGCTGCCTACTCCCAGGCAGAAGGGGAAGTGGGTCTCTGCTCAAGGTCTGGTGTTCCCACAATTCACCCCTTTTTATTTTCAAATGAGGCACTCCTGGCTTAGGTCAAGTAGGGTCACCCTCCCTTTCCCGTCTTTGGGGGACCTTGGACCCCTGTTTTAGGTGGGAGGGGTCTTCCCCACAGGTTGCCCGTCATCGGAGATACCCCCAACCTTAAATCATCTGTAACCAACCTTTATGGCTATCGGGATTGCCATGGGCTAAGCTAAGCAATACTTGGTTACGGATCTCTTGCCTCTGGAACAACGCACGTTTGAGCTCGGCATAAAGCCAGAATGCCTACCGCCACTGCCACCATTTCCAGGACCCCCATTGACATAGCGCCTCTCCATCACCATACCCATCACCAGATCTGGGCCATAACATTCTGCCAGCCTTCATCTGTTACAAGGGTAACATGCACATGATTTACATTCTGTTACAAGGGTAACCCGCATGTGATTTACATTTACAATTTGATAAAGTTTACAATCGTTTCAAGATCTGGTCAGGAAAGCATTTAGAAAGTGCACTTGCACAGATACATTGGGCACAATCATTGATGTTACACATGTAGCATTATGAAAAATATGAACAATAGTTGTCACATTAGGACAAGTTGCATTTCTCCAGAAAAATACACTGGCCTAGTCGTGATTCCAGAAATAGGAACCATCAAGTCTGATATTTCAAGTGACCATGTCCTGTTCAAATACTGAAAAGAGGCTTTTGCCACTCATCATAGTCCATACCAATGTCCAAATGCTTTAAATGGGTCCTTTTTTCTCTGTTGGCTTCATGATGAAAACTCATGGGTCCGGAAGGTTGATGCAGCAGGT